TGTTGGCCCCATCTTGGCCTATGTTGGCCCTATGTTGAGCCATCTTGGAGGCTATGTTGGGCATATGTTGGGGATATGTTGGCTATCTTGGGCCTATGTTAGGCAATTTATGTTGAAAAAATCTTCCGATACAACTTTTTACGATTTTTCCTTCCCGCAAAGCAAAAACACTGGAAAAACCTACGTTTTTTGACATCGCCAAGATGAAATTCTCGGCCGCCAAGGGCCCCAAAACCCTGTAAAACACAGTGTTTTTTACCTCACACGCACGATACACTGTAAATTACAGGGGCTTCTGTTGACAGGAAGTGACCAGGGGGGTCCCCCCGTTTTCGTGACGAGGGTCGGCGGCAGGGGGCGCGCCCGTATATAACCTTCGAAGGCCCTCCGGGCAGGGCACGGGCTTCGTGGCCGGCGCCCGGATTGTAAGGGCTTCGCCCGGGCGCCGCCGACCCCTTTTTGAGGAGGAGTGTAACATGTGGCGTTTTTGTGTAGTTCCGGCGGTGGCCCGTCTGTAGAGAGAAGGTAGGAGGCTGCAGCCAGGGAGTGCAAGTACTGTGCACGGTCGTGGCGGGCTGGGGTGTTGCAGGGGCAGTGGTTTGGACAGGACTTGACGAGTGGGGAGGTTTGGGGAGTTCAATGGCCATGTGGCCAACAAAGGACAATGCGTGCGGAGCGGTGGGCGTTTGTGAGGGCCTTGCCTGGCAGCTCAGAGCTAACCAGGGGAGGCTTGCGGTGATGCAGGCCAGGTGTTGACATCACTGCTTCTCACGAACGGTCGCTGGTCTGTGGGCGTGGTCCGGCGTTGGCACCGGGGCAGTTAGAATCCCTCAAATCCACCGCGGACGATCGACGAAAAGCGAACGTCCGTCCGTGGATGGACGAGAGGAGACGGAAGAGGGGCGTGGACGGGGCAGGGGTGCTGCAGGGGCAATGGTTTTGACATGATAGGATGAATTTGGAGTTGGGGGATTCGAGGGTCTGTAGGCTGCATGGCTTCGGACAGGCTAGCTGTAGCCTGGCCAAAGGCGCTGCGGAGGGTTTGAAGGCGCCTCGTCACCTTCGGGACCCTAAAGAAAAGAGGCGCAGGCCGAGGTGGCAGCTTCCAGAGGCTCGGTTCTAAGGCTGCAGTGCACGGGCTGCACGTTCCAGAGGCTCCCTCCCCAGGCTCCCGCCTGACGCAGGCAAGACTGCGATGCAGGAGTGCCAGAGGCTCCCTCCCCAGGCTCCCGCCTGACGCAGGCAAGACTGCGACGCAGGAGTCGGCCACGGAGGGTTTGAAGGCGCCTGGACGTCACCTTCGGGACCCTAAAGAAAAGAGGTGCAGGCCGAGGTGACAGCTTCCAGAGGCTCAGGAGGGTCTGTAGGCTGCATGGCTTCGGACAGGCTAGCTGTAGCCTGGCCAAAGGCGCTGCGGAGGGTTTGAAGGCGCCTGGACGTCACCTTCGGGACCCTAAAGAAAAGAGGTGCAGGCCGACATGACAGCTTCCAGAGGCTCAAAAGGTCTGTAGGCTGCATGGCTTCGGACAGGCTAGCTGTAGCCTGGCCAAAGGCGCTGCGGAGGGTTTGAAGGCGCCTGGACGCCACCTTCGGGCCCCCAAAGAAAAGAGGTGCAGGCCGAGGTGGCAGCTTCCAGAGGCTCGGTTCTAAGGCTGCAGTGCACGGGCTGCACGTTCCAGAGGCTCCCGCCTAATGCAAAGGCTGCGGGGCAGGAGTCGGCCAAACGTGCGCTGGGGGCC